ATGCCTCCCCAAATCAGTGGGAGTCTCCCACAATTTTTTAGTTTACCCACATACATCTCACTCCCACAAAACTCCCACAATTCGAAATCTCCCACAATCTCCCACAAAAATCTCCCACAATTTTTTAATTTCTCCCACAATTTTTTTTTTAGCATTTTAATGTTTTTAATATATAAATAATAATTTTGAGAAACAGTATTTGATTATTTTTATATTTTTAAAATAAATTTTAAATATTTATTCGAAAAATATGTCTAGTTCTTATATTTTATTTTTCCGCTAATTTTAAATTCTCCATCCAATCCAATCCATTCGACATTTTCAAAATTTGAAGTTAGAATAGTATGTATAATTATTATAAATATATTTTAAATTTCTAGATTCTATAATTGCAGTGCTCCACTCAACATTTTCATAGAAGAATAGAACTTTTAGAAGTGGATTACTTTGGTATTTCTGCAGCATAATTTAGTGAGCCTTTATTAAATTATATTCTTCTGATTGCAACTGCATATTAACAGCATATAGTAGATTTCCTATATGTAAAATTCCTAAATATACTTCTGCCATTTATTTTTGAAATTTTTTTTCATATAGGACAGCTTTTATAATCTATTTATTTTTTAACGGTTTGTAAAATTTTAAAATTCTACGATGGCGCGTATTAGGAGGAACCTGTCAACCAACATTATGCTGACTCAATTCTGTAAATACACTATGGTTTTTGCCAAATTCACTGAGGAATTATCAGATCAGAAAGCTGCCATGCAATTCATTGGTAATGCCAAATCTGCCATATTTACCATTATATATGGTTAGCTATGTCTTTGGATATTTCATATCTGGAGAAAATTTTTTTAATAGTTTTATTGAAGACATTAATTTTGTTGAAATAGGGGAGGATCAAGGGAAATGTTTTGATATCTCCTTATTAGATGCATCTGTTAGAATTGCATATGTTTGCACATCTTTCAAATCGTCAAGAATTGACCTTCTGGATTTATATCCTAAAACATTATTGATAGCCTTGCTCATTTTGTGTTCTACAAAGTATACTTTTCATTTATATTAGTCGTTAAATATTATGGGGAAAGATTCTACCAACATTGAGATGTTGAGTAACTCTCTGAATGTTGTACTGCATGATAGGTATTTACCATTTCCGCAACTGTAGTTGCATCTATATTATTTCTAATTTTTGAAGAATATTTTTGTTTTGCAATAGATGTTGATAGAATACCCTGTACTGATTTATGCTTTGAAGATTTTTGATACCTCAAAATATCATATTCCCTTCCCCCATTGTATTAACTAATACTGTAGAACAACTTCCCCGCACTGATTATAAATATTTTTTACATTGTAAATTTAAAATTGTTTGTTTTTTTATAAAATCTTATTTATACATTTATTTTTTTACATTGTAAAATTACAATTTTTTTATAAAATTTTATCTTGTTTACATTCTTTTGTAATTAAAAAAGATCGTTGGTTATTATTTTTAAACAAAATTAATATATTATAATAAATAAATATGTTATTTTAATAATAAAGATAGTACTCTAAGAAATTTTGTGTCGTACAGTAATTACCTATTTTGAAAAATAGTTGCGTATTTTATTTTGGAAAATAGTTGGATATTTTATTTTGAAAAATAGTTGGCTATTTTATTTTGAAAAATAGTTGGCTATTTTATTCTAAGAGTTACCTATTTTATTTTGAAAAAGAGTTGGAAATTTTATTTTGAAAAATAGTTGGCTATTTTATTTTGAAAAATAGTTGGCTCTTTTATTTTGAAAAATAGTTGGCTATTTTATTTTGAAAAATAGTTGGCTATTTTATTTTGGAAAAAGTTAGCTATTTTATTTTAAATAGTTGGCTATTTTATTTTGAAAAATAATTACCTATTTTATTTTAGATTAGATTTTATATTTATAAAAAATAATAAGCGGATAACTAAGTCAATTCTAAACCCCGGCCGCAGGCCGGGCCTTTGCGGGCCGAAGGCCCGCAAAAAAATTTTTTTTAGCAATTTCTCCCACAATTTATATATTTCTCCCACAAAATACCTAATTTCTCCCACAATTTGAAAATTTTGACCTGGCAACCCTGTATATGAGCCTTTTAATAATTTATCAATTTTTATGCAATTAAGACCAAGTCTGCCCCTGGCATTTACTAGGAGATTTCAGTTGATGCAATATGAACTAGGTTAAATCCAAATCTATTTCTTACGTCTTTTAATTTTCATTCATTAAAGGATTTCCTAGGTTTTAAGTCGACGAGGCTTCCTTCCAGTCATTCATTTTATCTTCATTTTGAAAGATTTGAATGAATCTAGGTTAAAAATATTTCCAGGTAAAGATATAAAAAGTACTTCTAATTATTAATTTTTTAAATGGATAAAAAGAGAAGGAACATAATAAATATAGTATTTTGGGGATATAAGCATTTGGAAATAATATAAAGAGTCTGGTTACTTAAAAAATTTCCGCCTTAAAGATTTTGGATAATGAATACTCAGATGTAGTAAAAATATTAAATATTCTAGATATTATATAGGAGAATCTAAATGTATGTAGAATATCTATTGCATAGAATAACCTATACTAAAACATTTTGATTATTATATTATTTGAATATAAATTACACAGGCGCGTACGCAGCGGCGGAGGGGGGGGGCAGGGGGACAAATTCCCCCCCCCCCCCCCCACCGTCAAAGCCAAAAAATGCAGATGCCGGATCATATTTTTCAAAAATATTATTGTTAATATTAATTTATATTTGTTAATATTTATTCCTATCTCATGTATATATTTAATTACATTTATTTATCACATTCATCTACTAAGTTATTTTATCAATTAATTTAGATTTCAAGTTTTCCTTGGCGTAAATTACCTATTATTTTCAAATTTTAGTGGCGTATTATTTATCTATATTTCTAGTCAAAATAATAATCTTTAAAACTCCTTGTCCAACAGGGATAAAGAAATTTTAAGCTTGTCCAACGAGATCGAGTCTCTGCCATCAAGCAGTAACAGCTTTTATGGAGTTAAAAGAGCCGATTATTAATGATATTACTGAAATATCACAATGGCTTAAAAGAAATATTTCCTCAGAAGCAAGAAAATTATTGGATTTAATACTTATTCCAAATTATTTTTCTCATTAGAATCTATTATTTAATTATACAACTATTATATGTAATACTTTTCAAAAAAATGGCATTGACTTGATTAAGAAGATGATAATAGCGGAGAACTATAACTCAGGAAATTAGAACTAATGTTGATGAAGAATTTCATATTTTATATGTTATTGTTGAGTCAAAAGCATATCTATACGTGTTTGATATTTGTCCCCCTCAACTTGCAGCAAGCAACATCGTCAAAACATTAATATAGGATCAGTAGAAGATTATAGAACAAATGTCCTCTCTTAAATACATTTTCAAATAAATGAATGGTTTTTAATACATTATGCAGCACTTACAAATCGGCAGATATTACTTCTACAAAAGCCTTTCCAACCTTTTTCAAATGATGATAGAAAAAAAAATATTTGTTAGATTTTTATCATGAGATGCCTTATTAGCTGAATATATATGATTAAAAGATTAGCTATGGTTGATACAGCCCCAATGGATGCTTTGCATTATTTCAAACACATTTTAGATTATAATCCCACTATATTAAAATGGTTATATAAATATATTAGCAACTCTTCCCATTAATTAACTAATGAGAGAACATTCTCTTTTTTAAGAAGAACAGAGCCCTGCAGCCAGATTTTTTTAAAATTTTTTTTACGGCCCAGCCCGGGTTTTTTTAAAAAAATTTTCAGGCCCGGCCCGGCTTTTTTAAAAATAATTTTTAGACCAGGCCAGAATTTTTTTAAAATAGATTTTATTTATTTTTGATTTATATTTAAAATATTTGGTTTTAAAATATACAGCTCGGCCGGAAAATTTTTATGCCCAGCCTGGGTGTTGTTTTTTTAAAAAATTCTGGCCCGGCCCAGGTATGTTTAAAAAAATTAAAATACTATCCGACTCAGGGGCCGGGCCTGCAAGTCTCTGAAAAACATACCTATGAAATACAACTTAAGTAGATTGAATGATTTGGATCTTTTGAATATTCATAGGCATGTAACGCCAAGCAAGGACAGATTGTTGAAAAATTAACTCAAAACATACAAAATATAATTATTCCTAAGAAACTTTTTGTGTATTAAATTATATTTCCAACATTTAAATTTTTTATACTTTATATATTTTAAAAGCTCACAGAGCTAGATAACCAAAATAAAAAATACTAAATTCACTAAAAAATTCAAAAGAGTTATTTATGATATGATCCAATTTTAATTGCCCAATACAGATATAACATAAAAAAAAAACCTATTTCTAAAACGGTTGTTAAAGATATAGATAGCTTTAGAAATTGACTTTAATGTAATGCTGGAAAATTTGAAAAATATTTAACACTTCGGGTTAAATACTTGGTTTAAAATTTTGAAAATGTTAAAGATCGGCCTGGAAATTAGTAAAAAATAAATTATTAGGCTCTGACGTGTTGGAAATATTTAATTACGCGTTGGGCGGAACGAGGTAACTTGCACCAAAATTAATAAATGAACATGCCAAAATTTATACACTAGTATTTTAAGAAAGGAATAAAAACACTATATACTTAAGAGTTGTTCCTAATTATTGAATTACGTAGAACAAATTCGGCTCGAATTATTGTTTAATAATATTCTAACTCCTTAAATTTAGCTTAATCATTTAAAGTATCCTTAAAGGATTATATTTATTCTGGAAAATGATTAATCTTCTCATGATTCTAAAAAATATATCTAGCTATAAACGTTTGGGTTAATAAATTTATAAAGATTAACAGCATTAAAAATTGTACTTACTAATTTTTTTTATAAAAATTTCAAAAATAAATAAATTTATATAAATACCAAAAAATGAAATTGGACATCATTTCATTTTTACATTTAAAAATAGCTTGTTATTTTTTTCTTCAAAATTTTTTTTAAAATTTATTTATATTTTTAAGATTTTGGTATCAACCTTAAAAAAAAATAAAATTTATATAATTAATCTTGAAACAACATTGTGATAAATTTAAATTTTAATTTTATCTTGAATTTCAACGATATATCACTCTTCTTTTCTACTAAGGGTTACAGGCACAAGATCCACAACGAATTCCATTTGGACATGACATCCAGGGGCACCTTGGAAAACATTCTATTTCTATTTAAAATATAAAAATTAACACTAAAATATTATAAGTATAAAGCCACTTTATACATATTATTTTAAGATATCCAGCCATATATAACATACGAAAAAAAGCATTTTAAATCACAATGATATGGAGGAATTAAATCATTTATAAAAAGGATTAGAGTTTAGCAATATTACTAGACTAATGAATTGCAAAAAAAATAATTTTTTAATTTCATACTATATAAATTACACAATTTATATAAATTATGGCCCACTAACACAGCTATTAGAGACAACTTTACTCAAAGAAAACGCGAATTTAAAGGGAAAGAAAATGAAAGCTCTGGAGTAAAGGGTTATATATAATGTTGAAAGAGCTCATTGTAATTATAAAATAATATAACTATATTTTACATACCTCTAAATCTTCCATCCGTAGTTGTTAGTGTATCTGAAATTTAGTTATCTATATTAAACGCAGATATAATTTAACTATGTGATGAATTATCAATTAAATTAATAAATTATAAGGTATAGTCCAGCAGCGTCACTAACCTTTGCAATATTAATAGACTCAACTAAAAAAAAATTTATGGAGACTTGGGCACCCATACCCCCTTTCTTGGGTCTTCGGGCCTGTTTGGCCTTTGGCCAGGTTTTATTTTTTACTTAAAATTTGAAATTTGAAAAATGATTTTGAATTTCATATTTTGTCATTTATGCATCATATAATAAACATTAGAAGACACTTCTATAGATAAAATTTTTTAATAAAAAAAATTATTCATCTATTACAATATTAAATATTTTAAATTGTTGATAGAGATGTTGGTTAATTTGCAGTCATAAATAACACTCACTGTAATGTAGTAAAATATAGCAATAAACTAGTTGTATATTATGTAATTAGATATGGTTATTTATAATGATTATATATTTATGTTTAATATAATCATTTGTAAAGTTAACTAAATAGCACCATATAATTAAATTCATAATCTTTGCATTGTATAAATTAAAGATAGAATAAACTCTGTTATAGTTTATTATAAGCGGATTATTCAATGTAAACTTATATCTGAATTTATCATTTTAGATAAATTGATAAAACAAAAAAATAAAAATCTTTAGAAGAAATAATTATCCATATATTGAAGCCTTGAGTTATTTACACGGTAAGGATGCCATATTAAAAATGAATCATTTAGTAACTAGAAAATAAGGACCAGTGAGATATGATAGAAGCAATTAAGATTTTATATATTATTGTAGCACCTCAAGTTGGTTTAATATATCTTAAAATTATTGTAGTTTGTAATAATATCAAAAACTCGTAAAAAAAGATAATGAAAAAATAGATCTATTATGGATTACATCCATTATGGGATGAGTAATATTATGTTTAATTTCAATAGATTTTAAATAAATAGATGGCGTTATTGTTATTTATATTTATTATCAAAAGCATTGAATAGCAAATGTTTATTAAAATATTATCTAAACAAATATATCTTAAGTGGCATTTATATTTTAAAACCTATTTATATAATAGAGGATTATCAACTATATAAATCTGATAACCTTTTATAAATTAATTTATTATATCGTTGCTTAGAACTATTTTTAGGATGAGACATAGTAATTAAATTAAAAAATAATATAATATAGTTGATTAGATTGAACTCAGCTAATTACAATATAAATTTGTTAAATTTCAATTACTAAATAATTATATTTATTTAATTAGGTTTAGCAAATAAATCAAATAATAAAAATTTAGCTTCAATTGTTAATGCTATACTGAAAATTACATTATGAGTGATATTGATAATGATATTCCATTTTTAACACAGCAAGCTGACATAGTGAAAACATAATTTACATGTATTAATCTAATTTATTAAAATAATATAATAATTAAATAGCACCAGGCGCGTACGCAACGGGGGGGGGGCAGGGGGACAAATACCCACCCTCCAAAGCTAAAAAATGCAGATGCCGGATTATATTTTTCAAAAATATTATGTTAATATTAATTTATATTTGTAAATATTTATTCCTATCTCATGTATTTTTTTAATTAAATTTATTTATCACATTCATCCACTAAGTTATTTTATCAATTAATTTCGATTTCAAGTATTCCTTGGCGTAATTTACCTATTATTTTCAAATTTTAATGGCGTAATATTTATCTAAATTTCTAGTCAAATAATAATTATCTCTGAAACTCCTTACAGGGAGAAAGATATTGCAAACTTGTCCAACGAGATCTGGTCTCCGCCATCAAGCAGTAAAAGCTTTTATGGAGTTAGAAGAGCCGATTATTAATGCTATTACTGAAATATCACAATGGCCTGAAGGAAATATTTACTCAGAAGCAATAAAATTATTGGATTCAATACTTATTCCAATTTTTTTTCTCATTAGAATGTATATACAACTATTTTATTTAATTCTTTTCAAAAACATGACATTGACTTGATTAAGAAGATGAGAATAGCGGAGAACATTTTATTAGAACTCAAGGAAATTCGAGCTTATGTTGATGAAGAATTTCATATTTTATATATTATTGTTGAGTCAAAAGCTGAGTTATACGTGTTTAATATTTGTACCCCTCGACTTGCAGAAAGCAAGCTCATAAATTAACATAAAATCAGTAGAAGAGTATTAAAACACATGTCCACTCTCTTATATACATTTATAACCCAAATAAATGAATGGATTTTAATTCATCCAGCACTTACAAATCCGCTATTACTTCCACAAAAGCCTTTCCAACCATTTTCAGATGGTGATAGAAAAAAAATTAAATATTTGTTAGATTTTTATCATGAAGATGTTAAAATATCTTATGATGCCTTATTATCTGAATAACTATGATTAAAAGATTAACTATGGTTGATCAAGTGTTGTTAAACGGGTCGAATTGAGCTGATTTTTAAAAACGGCTAACTGAATATTTCAGCCAGAAAAATATTATCTAAGCCTCGAGATTTAGTTAATAGATGTTCATCCCTTTTGGCTCTTCCCAGAAGTTGAAAATATTTGCATCTTATTAATTCTTTTACGTAAAAAAATTTCTAATAATGAGCTGAATGGAATCTTTATTTGGATGCTGTATTAATTTAATTATTTTCTTCTTTTTCTAATAAATTTTTCAAAATAATCATTATCATCATCAAGATTTGTCACTGAAATTAATGTTGATGAATTAAATAATTTAATGATTTGTAATTTTCCCGTTATTCCGTTAAATGAGCTATAGCAGCCACTTCCTGATCAATGGTTAATAGGATTTGATATGCGTCTAAATTTAATGAGGCATAAAGATTATTATTTAAATAAATATTCTCTCTAAATCTTATATGCACTAATATCTCATTGGAAAAATTATTGTCTATTTTTTCAAAATGACATTTTATCCAACTTACCTGGTTTCAAAATACACTTATGTTAATTGTAGTGTTATACTTCGAATGCTATAAACATTTGGATAAATCTTTCAACATCTGGTCGATCTGCTATTTCTTCATTTATATATCAGCATTTATATCATAATCATATCCCAATTATCCCTTATAATGGCGATTTAAAACATTTGATTTTAAAATATACGGTCAGGCTAGACTTTTTAAAACTATTTAGGCCCGATAGGGATATTTTTATTAAAAAAAAATTTCAGACCCGGCCAGCCCCGCGTATATTAATAAAATTAAAATAAGGCCCTGCCCTGGGGTCTTTGAGTAAGATATGGGCATTTTAAAATATTTATGAAAAATGGTCGACTCTTAAATATAACAAAAATGATTCCACGAAAAAATGATAGAAAAATGTTTTTTGTAAAATTAATATTTTATTTTGAATAAAAAAATAATTATTTTAAATAGAAACTCTTTTTAAATAGGAAAGCTTTTATAACTGAAAATCATAAATTGTATATTTTTTATATTGTATAATTTTTGAAATATAATTTAAAATAGTTTAATAATTTAAAAAAAAAATTTTTTTTTTAAAAAAAAAGCTTGAATCCTGAACTCTAAATTTAAAAAAAAAGGTTTGGGTTTGGATTCAGCAAAATATCTAGGGTCGGGTTCAGGGTTTGGGTTCAGGTTCTCGTCCCTGATATATTTATCCCTGAACTTATCCTGGCCAAAATTCTGCTTTTTTGTCTAAGGGCTCACATCTCTGGACCTCCTTCCTGATAACTACCCTCACACTCCATTTAAATTTAAAATGTAATTTTATATGATAGTTTATATCATATTTATTTTTCAAGTAAATACAATTTATATAGATTAAGGATTATTTTTATGGGAAATTTAAACTTTTATTAATGTTAATTTAAAATAAAAATATATAACATGAAGAGATTTTCGATATTCAATTGAACTTTAGTATCCAATCTTCCCTACTGCAAAAAAACACTTCAAAATATGTATTTTTTAGTTATCTATAGAGGGGTAGTAAGGCGAATCTAATTATACATTGGCATTTTAAGGTAAATATAAATAAAGGTTTATTACAATATTTTATAACTCCATCTAATGAGAGATTGGGGCCACCAAATAGGCAAAAGATTTCACAAACAGGCCCGCAACTTTAACTAATTTATTATATTTATAAGTTGTTATGAGTGAATTTTATTTTTGCTAATTTTATATATTTATACCTTTAGAATTTTGATTATTTTCTTATAACTTTAATTTTTTCACGTTGTCTTGACTAGACAATTAAGATCAGTATTTTTCATATATGAATTATTTAATTATAGTTATTTTAGCAACCTTCATGCTTTATGACCTTTCGAATTCTTAATTCTTCAAGTTTCTTATCTGCCAACAATTCTTCTATTATCAACTATTTTAGAAAAAGAATATGAATATTGATCATTATTCTAAAGGATTGCTAAATGACGAACAAATTATTCTTAACAGCCATCAATAACCATTGTTTTTAATTTCGCAATATATCACTTTGATTTACAGAAATGAACTGTATAATAATTTTTAAGATTGTTTTAAAAAATTATTAAGAAATAAAATGATCACGTGTTTTAGTACACTTTCTTGTGAAATTAAAAATCCAAATTACATGTTTTAGAAATTATTGTGCTTTTAAATAAACAAATTAGAATAGCGACATTATTAAAGCACCATTATGCATAATTTTAACAAATATTGATGGTACATTATATATCAAAAGTGTCATGTGATCAAGTATATGAATCAATCCCTACATGCCAAACCAAATTAAGTCAAGGACAAATTTAAATAGAAGAGTTATTGTTGATATCTTAGATTAAAATTACCAAATTTTATTTTTATATTTTGTTAAAATAAAAATAAAAATAAGAAATTTTTTTTCATATTATTGTATTTTTGGAATTAAAATAAAGTTTGTCAAATTAACAAAAATGAGTAACAGAATTATCTAGAAAAACTAAAATTATAATTTTACCTCTATTCCACTTGGATTCTATAGGGGTTCCTGAGAAATAATCAACTAAGCCTAAAAATTTTGATAATTAAATTCTTTTACCAATTGTTTATAAAAGACTCACTTAGAATAACTAGACAAGCAATAATATATGATAGAAATTTCATACTAGATTAAAAAAAGTAATATGTGAAAAAAATGAATAATGTTTATAATAAAGATATTTATTTGCCTTTTTTTTCATATTCAAATTAACAATGCATTATATATTAAGTTAAGATTATATGGCAATGATGGTTGGCATAGAATTTCTTAATTAAATTCTCATATACTTATGAAACAAACAAAACGACCTTTTAACCAGATTTATATTTTATTGTAATTTATTACGAAAAAAACGAAAAGCATAAATTAGCAATGTCCGAGAAAAATTAATTTATAAAAATTCATATTTCATAAAGTGTTATAAGGAAGGTAATGGTCAAGGTCAATTTTGTGTAAACATTTCAATCTTTTTTTCGTGTAACTTTATAGTTTAGTTTTAGAGTTGGTAAATTCTTTAAATGGTTCTTAGGAAAAATTTTGGGAAAATAAGTGGATATATAACAGGAAATTTCAGGAAAAATTAGAAGACATAACAAGAAATTAGATGGAAAAAAAGGATGGATACTTTAAACATTTGATAGTAAATAATATTATTAAAAATGAAAGAAAATCGAATAAAAAATAAATATGGGGGTTGAGTCTGTGAAAGAAGGGGCTATAAAAAGTGAAGAGGTAACCTTACCAAAATAAATTTAAACATTGTTTGTATGTTAATCTACGGTAAAAATTAATAATTAAGGTGAAATATTTGATTTTTTTAATAATCATAAATTTCTAAATTATGAAAAACATACATTGGGAGACTTTTTTAGCCTTTTTTGTGGAACAGTTGAATAGTGGACAGGAGCGTGGCTAGCCTTTACAATCTCAGGGGGCTCACTGTAAAGATTTTTATGGGGGGCTTTGCCCCCCCCCCATGCTCACCAATTTGCTTTTATATTAATATATTATACTTTTTTTAAATTTGTTAGTTCCAATTATTCTCAATTTTAATTTTCTCATTTATTATATTATGCATACAAAATAAACTGGCAAACCAATACAAGACATTTTTAAAAATAATTTTTTTTAATACAAAATTTATTTATATTACAACTCAATTTTCTTTTCTAAAATTTAATATATTTAAGAAATATTCTGACTTGCCCCGTATAACCCCGGTTTCCCATATGTTATTTTATTTTTGTTGTTAATCGTTTTTTATATGTTTTAAATTAGATTAAATGCCATAATATCAATTGCTATATTATTTTACATTAATTTTCACAAAGCTTTTTTAAACAATATGCATAAATATTAAAATTTAAATTTTTTTTATTAATTTACATATCATTACAGTTCAAACTAATTTTATTATAAAAAGGTACATTATTATAACTAAATGAATTATTTATTTCAGTATTTGTTAAATTGATATGCAAAATTTTCTAATAAAAATTGTGTGCCATTGAGTAAAATTAAAGTGAAAATTAAAATTAAATACAAAAAAGAATTATCAAAATTGATAAGAAAAAAAGATTGAGAAAAGATCAGAAAAATGAAGATTAAAAATAATTTAATGAGATTGAAAAGGTCAAAAATGTATGCAAAAAATTACAGTGTAAGGAGAAAAATTCATAAAAACGTAAATATCGTTATGTAATGACTTAATAGTGCATTTAATCTTTAATCTTTAATAGCACCTTGGTCATAGACCTGCCCAAATGTGAACGTACGTGAATTATATTAAGGCCCATCCTTCATATTCCGATTTTTTTACTCAAGGATATCAACAAACCTTGTAACCCAGATATGAAGCAAAAAAAGGGTGGTACTACACCGGAGCTATTTGAATATGTTAGTAAATGAGTATAACAAAGGAAGAAAAAATATAAGAATAAAAAATATATGAATAAAAAAGATCCTTCTTCCAAAAAATTATTTTTATATTCTAAATTTTATTTGTTAAAAATTAAATTAGGTATTTTAATCTTGAGGTAGTAAACAAATAAATAAATAAAGAGAGAATTAAAAATGGTAGACAAGAGAAGATACATAATTTTAGTAAAAATTAGTAATAAAACATAATAGTATTTTTATAGTAATGAAAAAACATGTTTTGGAAAAAGTAGGTTTTTTATGTAAAAAATAAATAAATAATAAATTTTTTATTTATTTTTATTTTTATTGTTTATTTATTTATTTTAAATTTAGATTTAAAAAATAAACAAATTTTTGGTAAAGTAAAAAAAAATAAAAATGGAGGATAGGAAGCAAAGTAAGAAAATGGAGGAAAATATAGTATTAGGGATAAGAGAGGCTATTAAAAAATAATATGTCTATAGAGAACTTCTTTAGAACTAGATTCTTTAAGATTTGGAAAAAATAATTTTTCAAAAATAAAAATATATTCTTTTATTTAACATTACTAGAAGAATGAATTAAAAACCTTAAATATCCTATGAAAGTGTTTATTACATTTAAGCGTGATAAGCATTTTTACCTCCCTGATTGAATCTGAGATAAGTTTTGTTTTGTATATCAAGAATCTTTCAATATTAATCTTTAAACATAATCATACATAACAATATGTCCCACGTGTAATAACAATGTTTCCCAAAAGAAATAAATTATTTACAAACGAGCCAACAGATGCCCTTCATCAGGTACTTTCTTTAACAACAATGAACCTGTTATGCCTCCTTCTTCTTATCCTGCTCTTATTAATAGTATTAATTTGGAACCAATACCTACAACTTCAAGCTCCAACAATACCTTCAACACAAACAATCATCTTCATGCCCAGATAATAACATTAATTCAACTTTTATTGCTGAGGCACAAGAATGGCTAGAAAAATTTATGAAAGGAAGCCCCCCCCCCACAATAGCTCGTATTCCGAAAGGTGCTAGAATTATATTTTCACTTTTTTTTAGCTATTTTAACCTCCCTCCCTAAATAAAAATATTAAAAGCTTAGATAATTGGATTAAATTATTATCATTTGTATATTTAAATCTACATCTCACATCATCAAAATTAAACTTAACACATAACATCAAAAAAACATTAAAATCAAATGATAATAGTTATTTTGATATTCCCAAACAACCTCCACATTCTTCCAATAAGCATTTGACAAATAAAAAAAAGGCTAAGTTTATTGAAAATAAAATAAATCTATGCAATGTAAATTCAGTTATCAACATAGCCTGTTCAAGTGATACTATGGCCCCCAATAATGATATAACTCTCACGGCCATGAAATCTAAACATTCTCAAGATTTTTCACAAATCATCCTTCCACCATCTAATAATCCCATTCCACTAACCGAGATGGAAATATTGGAAGCAATAAAGTCTTCAAAAAGAATTCTTCAGGAGGCATCAATGGCTTTCGAGCCATTTATCTCCAAGATACAATTAAACAAACTATACCCCTATATCAAAATATACTTATACAATTCACTATATTGCTCAATCATATCTTTCATAATAATATACCTAATCCCATTCAGCCCATAATTTTTGAAGCCTGCTTAATATCCTTAAATAAAACCAATGGAGACATCTGGCCTATTGCAGTCACTCTTCATGCGAATCATTTCCAAAATAATTTGCTCTCGTATAAAATCTAACCCATCCAATCTACTACAACCAAACCAGCTTGGTTTTAATATTCCTGGAGGATGTGAGGCTGCATCCCACTCGACACGTGTCATCCTCCATAACAAACATGATCAATGCCTTCAATTCACTTAGAAGGGAACATTTTATACCCTCTTTTTGTGAAACTTTCCCAGATTATACAACATACATCGCTGCATTTTACAACCAACCCTTCTTTTTAATATTTAATGATTCTATTATTTTCTCAAAATAGGGCATTCAACAAGGAGAACCTTTAGGTCCAGCATTATTCTGTCAGGGCATTCAATTAATTATATAAGAGATCTCTTCCAATTGTGATCTTAAATTAAATGTTTGGCACCTGAAAGATGGCACACTAGCCACCTCTTATAAAAAATCATAAAAATTCCAACAATCATAAATCACTTAGCCCCTATTACAGGACTATCACTAAACCCTCATAAGTGTTATTCCCCCATTGAATGGATTGCCCACCCGAAAATTTTATTTTAGTGGACAAAGCCAATAATACCCATTTAGGTTCACCCATTGGAGATGATAAAGCTATATTTCATTTTAGAGATAAATTCCTTGCTAAATTTAATAGAATGAAAAATATTTTAAAATATTTACCTGCTCATCAGGTTTTATATTTACTGAAAAATTTTCTATTCATTTCAAAAATTTTACATACCTTTCGTTCATCTACAATTTCCACATCCTCCTAGGTATTATTGGACCTCGAAGTCCACTTAAAATACTATCAACGAAGAACTCAGAATAGCCATAGGCCTTCGCTTAGGATGTGAAATCGTATCACCTACATCATGCGTCCTATGTGAAACCCAAATCGATAGTCTAGGACATCACCCCCTTCACTGTCGTTTCTCAAAAGGCAGATTACCCAGAAACCATGCTATCAGTTCAATCATCAACAGAACCTTGAAATCCTCAAATATTTCCTCTACTCTAGAACCCGGCCTCAGCCTCGACTCAAAAAGACCAAATTGTATGATGCTGCTCCCTTAGAACCAAGATCTATCTCCTGGAATTATACTTGCGTGGATCGTTTTGCCAGATCTTTTTCTTCCAACTCTATCACGAAAGCCGAAAACACAAAAACAAACAAATATGGCAACCTTAATAATGTTTTGTTTGTTCAACCCGAAAATTATTCAGAAGGCTTCTACCTTCGACAGAGAACATCAACTGAAATCTACCGTTCTATCTGCAAATCCTTACATGGGTCATTAAGCCCCATCGATCATACCTAATTAAATTTTTAAATTATTATTTTATTTAATATAGTTTTTATATAAATTCTATTTTACAAATAGTTTACATGTTATTTTAAATACATATATTTTTTATAATTTTAGTGTTTATAAACAATACAAATTTTTTAAAAAAATACAGTACTAGCTTTTTTTATATATATATTTTTAAATTATAATTCGTAATTGAAAAATTTAAGTAAGAAAATAGTAACATTTTATAATAATTTG